CATTTGATAGTACTAAACAGTCCAGAGGCGGCAGATATCATATTTTGAAGGTGGACATAGGCTGATGCACTCGAAGTGAGTGACAAAATCGCAGGCAAGAACTGGACTGTTGGTGAAAGACTTATGGTCGACTGTAGTAACAACGTGGATAAAGTTCGTTCACTGTTTCTTTGGCCTGCTAGATGGAGACTTCTTCAAATATCAAAAAGGTGGTCGTCTTGGAAAAAAGTTCAGGCTAAGTAGGCATACGGATTTCCAGATGCAGTCCTGTCAACACTTCTAGATGAGCAAATAAGTGGGCCGTGTAGATGAACGAGGACCGAGGTAGAGCCACTTTATACGCCAACCTAGTCGTTGCTTCTGCAGTACATGCACGAGTAGTGGATACTGGATTAGTCGTCAGTGAAGGTAGCCTGTAAAGTGCACGGGTACTGGGATTTCGTGAATAAAGTGCTAGAAAAATAAAATAATAATACTTCACGGGTATGGATATGAAGACTTAGTAGCATTTGTGCATGAAATGTCAGTAACACCAAACAAATCGTGACTGTCATAAACTGGCAATCAACTCTCGTCTGTGGTTCACCGCGGCTAGGGTCTGCCACGTAGTGACACGCCGGTAACCACCTCTACCAGCTGGGTTTAACCAGATGAAGGCTATCCTGCGATCTATGGCCCCATATCCGACAGCTCTGTTTCTAACCCATTTCCCTCTTCTTTCCCATCCCTTTTTTCCCCATCTCCCCTTCCTCCTCTACTCCCCACTCCGATTTCCCCCATCCCACACCCACATCCACTTAAAACGTCCCGCGGTTAGCACAACACGAAATCCAATAGGCGACTCAGAATAACTCGGATTACTTTCAACAAAACCAAGTCGTGACATAAAATGGAGTTCGGTATCCCTCTAGGACGTCTCAGAAACCATATTTACGGATATCAAAAAATACCCACACGGTGGAGGACGACTAGAAAATACATCCTCAACAACTGCCGGTCTTCTGCACGCAGACCGTGGCTTGTAGATACAGGACTCACGACCGAGAAAGAAAACGTAAATACGATAACCCTCGCTAAGCTCTGCTAAGGAGTCAGACTCCGGTAATCATCACTACATGTTGGGATAAACCAGATGAAGGTTATCCTCTGATTATAGCGCGCATGTGGCAGCCATGTTCTCATCCTATTCCCTCTTCTTCCTTATCCCTTGTTTCCCCTCATCCACTTCCCTTCATTTCCTCACCGCCATTTCCCCCTCCCCCTCCTTCCCACTTCCACTTAAGACGTCTCAGGTTAAGGGTAACATGCAGTCCAATGGGCGGTTACTACGGTTACTTTTAACTTAACGAAGCCTTGGCACATAATGTATTTCGAATGCTGTCTGGGACTCCTCAGAAATCATATTTACGGATATAAATAACTGCTTACTCCAGGGAAGCTAGTTGAAAAATGTACCCTAAGTAACTATTGGCATCACGTCATCCGCTCTCTGACGGTGACTCGTAGATAAGAAGTGGCGATTCAAAAACAAAAGGAAACAACGACGAGCCTCGTCCTCCGCCTCTCCAAGGTACGAGACAGGCGCCTTGGGTGAGTTCACTCAATCTGACTGTCTCGAATTTCCATCTAAGGTGCAAGCAGACAAAACGAAGGCCGGCGCTAGTTGATTGGGAACCGGCACGCTGCAAGTTGGACGCTGCTGCTCTTGTCGAGGCCCATTTCCCCGTGTAAAGCCGACTGCTTGAGGTGCCTGCTGGTCACACCTTCTTCTGGAGGGTTACCCAACGATAGAGTGTTGCGACCCATGGCATTCGAACAGCCATCGCTAAATACCACCCTGTCTGCTACAGGGTGTCAGCGAGCACTCCCTGAACCTGCGTCGACATCATGGGGATGCAAAATTTGTTACTACCGTCAGTGTCTACGTCAACATCCCCCAATGACCAGTTTCAACGCGACGAGTTCCACGATGATGTGGCCACTTCGTGAGGATGTGAGATGAACGACTACCAAAACGAAACGATGATTATGCGGCAATCGCTACCCAAAGCTGCATGCATTTTTTTCTTCTTGTCCTTGTCAACGGTACCAACTGGAAACTGTGGACAACCTTGCCTATTTTGGTAGCACCATGCAAGCCCTTATCGAGACCGACTATGAAGTGGCCCACTGGGTCCCAAATACCAGTCCCTCCTTTTGTCGACTGTGAACTTTATAGTTTTCATCCCAACACCAAGCTTATGACAGATAATTATGTTTTCTGGATGGCGCTCCCGTATGGTCCAGAGAGCTTGACCATCTACAGGAAACAAACGCGGAATTACAACCACTGTCATCTTATTTGTCTCGTGCGGATTCTCAAGCAGAGACGCAAGGCGGAATTCTGAAATTGTAAGATTTGGAGCGCAATAGAATCCTCAGCAATCACGCCATGTAAAGGCAACTACAACTACTATGGGGCGGCCGCTTGGTGTAGGCGTAAGATGAACGACAAACAAAACAGAACTACTATGGAGAGATGGCCGGATGTGCACGCTGACAAGGAGGTAAAAGTTTCCGCTGCAAGAATACTCATTGCGATTGCAATTCAAAACGAAATCATAGAGAGACCGAGGTAAGAACTGACCGGGTAAAAGAAGGAGAGAGAATCCTGGAGTGGCAAAATATAATACCGATGGGAACGAAGCTTTCAAAGCCAAAACGTGAGTTCATGAATTTTAGTCGTCCAAGACTCTCAACAAAGTAAGGGTGGAGGCAGGTGGAGCGGCCAGAAGGTGGTCTGAGAGTCAGGCTGCAATGACTCCTTCTTAATGTTGCCTTTATTGCACTCCTACTGCGTGGGATCCGAGCAGGATGTGGGCTGCACGCCCAGGTGCGGCTTTGGCCGTCCCAGACCCAATCTTCTTTGTTGGTCGAAAGCGTGGTTATTGGTTGTGTGAACCAGAGGGAATCACAACCACTTTCATCTGAGTTGTCTCCTGCGGATACTGAACGTGAGGTGCAGGGCGAACTTCTAGACTTGTAAGATTTGGAATGCAAGAGAAACCTCAACAATCACGCCATGTAAAGACAACGACAACTACGATGGCGGGGCCACTTTGTGTGTGGCACACGAAAATCAGCTCTTCTCAACACTGTGATTCACCCCTACCAATGCCCGCATCTGTTAAGTGACCCGCTCGAACAGTCGGCTGATGCACAGAATAAGGTTAAGTGAGCGATGCCTGTACTCAGCGCCTAATTCCTTCTAAGAAAAAGTCACACGCGCATCAGACTATCAGGGTGCGCTAAAACTGTGGCTTGAAAGGGTACCGACTTGTGATTAAAATCTTGCCAATTAGTCAGTCTAGCTGTACTTTTTCTTTAGCCAATCTGCTTCGTAGCTGCTGATGATTGTGAGGCTTGAATTTCGGGCGAGTTTTTTTCAACGCGGATTTCGAAGAGCATCACAGTTTCACACGAATAATATTGAAAGTATTTTAAGGAATGGACTTTTAAATATAACCCAGGTCAGTCAGTGGGTTGCAACCCAAACTATGATTAGCGAGATGGCACTATCTGCGTGAGAAAGCTGCACTTCTGCATATGCAGCCTGAATGTGCCTGACGTGACGTAGAGGCCTGCAAACCAGGCGAGATAAAATTGATCGATCGCTCGCTTAACGCGCCGCACAACATCGATCGCAGTGCGGGCAGGTGGCTTTCGATAGATGGTCGAGCACTTAATGCCATTAGAACCGCACCTGAACTGCCTCGAGAGAATGTCGTCAAACTGAGCCGATTGCGGCGGCGTGCGCTATCGACGCGCGTGTGAGTCATCAAGGGCCTTTGCGGCGCCAACGGCTCGGGAGCAATAACAACGTCGGCTTATCTTTGCTGCGTATCATATTAGTTTAGCACACTGATTTTGTGTGCAGTTAACTCTGTTAAGCCAAGAAAAATATCTCCACCCATTCTCAGTATTTTTTCCAGTGACTAAGTAAAGAAGGAGAGAGAATCCTGGAGCGGCAAAATATAATACCGATGGGAGCGAAGCTTTCAAAGCCAAAACGTGAGTTCATGAAGTTTAGGCTTCCAAGACTCTCAACAAAGTAAGGGTGGAGGCAGGTGGAGCGGCCGGCTGGTGGTCTGAGAGTCAGGCTGCAATGACTCCTTCTTAATGTTGCCTTTATTGCACTCCTACTGCGTGGGATCCGAGCAGGATGTGGGCTGCACGCCCAGGTGCGGCATCAACCGTCCCAGATACAATCTTCTTTGTTGGTCGAAAGCGTGGTTATTGGTTGTGTGAACCAGAGGGAATCACAACCACTTTCATCTGAGTTGTCTCCTGCGGATACTGAACGTGAGGTGCAGGGCGAACTTCTAGACTTGTAAGATTTGGAATGCAAGAGAAACCTCAACAATCACGCCATGTAAAGGCAACTACAATTACGATGGGGTGGCCACTTGGTGCGGGTGCAAGATGAACGACAAACAAAACAGATGTGCACGCTAAAATGAGGTAAAAGTTCCCGCTGCAAGGGTATTCAATGTTATTATAATCCAAAAAGAATTCTTGAGAAGACTGAAGTAAGAAATGACCGGGCTAAGGAAGCAGAGTGAATGCTGAAGCAGCAACACATGAAACCAACGGAAGTGAAGCTATCATAGACAAAAGGTAAGTTGCTGAATCTCAGCCGTCCAAGATCATTAACGACGTACTAGCGGAGGCATGTCGTGTGTGTGCGTGTGTGTATGGGTGTGTGTATGTATGGGGAGGGGTGAGGAGTGTCAGCGGTGGGTTCACGTGATGGGCGTAGTGGTCGCTCATTTGCTTGCAGTGAGACTGCGCCTGGTGTCCATTTGCTGGCACTGTGGCTCCACGTAGCTGGACTCTGCTCAGCGGCCACACTCCGGGCAACCGCCCCGACCGGCGGGCTTAACCAGGTGAGGGGGATTACCCCCTGTGCGAATCGTGTCAGGTGCACAGGGTACTGCGGACTCCGCTGGACGGTTGGTCGGATGGAACACCGTGTCGACGCAGTCGTGAAGAGGATTCGTCTACGCCGTTGGTCAGCCGGTTGGTGGTGGAACGTCGCATCGGCATCGTCGAGACGAGGCTCCGCCTGGTACGCCGTTGATCAGCCGATGGGATGGATCTTCAAATCCGCATGGCTGACTCGCGCCCATCTGGTGCACCGTAGGAGACTGCAGGCTTACGGCAATGGCGTAAGCCATTGTCAAACTCGAGTCGTTCTTCCACTACCAAAGAAAGTCGTGGCCAAAGTGAAGTTTGGCCGCGCCGGCACACAGAGCAGCCCTGTTTAGAGAAGGGATCTGCTTCACTTCGGAGGGGGCCTGAAAAAGCTGGCAAAAAATTGCTGGAGAACCACGTCGTCTGCAGGCGCACCGTGATCCCAGACGCAAAACCCACAGTTGAAACAACCCAAATCGAAACAAGAACAACAACCATACTCATTCTCCTCATCCTACGTCTTCTTCCTCTTCCTCTCCCTATTCTTCTGCCTATTCTTCTCCTTCGTAATCTTCTTCTCCAACTCCTTCCCGTCCCCCCACTCGTTGTCACCAGACTGGCAGGGTCAGTCCGCTCACTCTGGCAGCCTGGAATGTTCGTTCCATTTTAAACAATCCGAGGAGCAACCGACCGGAGCGAAGGACCGCGCTAGTAGCTCAAGAACTAACGCACTACAAGGCCAATTGGAGGAGGTGGGAGCCCAACCCCTTCTGGAGTGGTCGCCCCAGGTACGAGAGACATGACGCGGGTGTCGCCTTCGCTATCCAGAACGACTTCGTGGGACAACTGCCCAGCCTGCTGCAGAACATCAACGATCGTCTGATGAGCCTCCGTCTGCCACTCCGGGATGGGTAAAATTCGCCAATATCATCAGCGCCTACGCTTCGCCGATGACCGGTCCCGAGGCCGCCGCCAAGAGACAAATTCTACGACGAACTGCACGAACCCTAGGCGACTTTGTCGAAAGCGGACAAGTTGATTGTCCTCGGTGACTTCAATGCCCGCGTCGGAACAGGTCGTACTGCCTGGAGCGAAGTGCTGGGTCCCCACGGTCTCCGCGGCTCAAACGACAATGGTCTGCTGTTCCTCCGCACCTGCGCAGAACACCGCCTCATCCTGACAAACACGTTATTCTGTATGCCGGAGCGAGAGAAGGCCATCTGGAGGCATCCTTTATCGCGTCATTTGCACCTACTGGACTTCGTCCTCGTCTGGAGGCGAGATCAGCGGGACGTGCTGGTGACGAAGGCGATCGCGGGTGCTGACGGGCGGACCGACCATCGCCTCTTCATCTCGAAGATGCGTATTCGTCTACAGCCTCGCAGGAGACCACAAGTTAAGTGACCCCCAGGTAAGCTGAATGTTGCCTTGTTGTCTTTGCCTGCTCACCATCTCCATTTTATCAGTGAGCTAGCTCAACGGCTTGGCAACTTGCCAATTGCTGCTGCTGCCGTCTCACGTGGACAGGTCGCTAGTTCTACCTGGAGAGGTCCTAGGAGGATGATGCGAAAATCATTGTGAGAATAATATCTTATAATTTCTAAACATAGATGTATCGTGAGTGCTCTCGCGATCACGGATATGCTAACAATTTAATTTTATACCACTGTCCCTTCCTCGAAGGATATACCGAGACCTTGGCTCTAACAACATATACGTCAACTGATGCTGGATTAGATAGTCTTCGAATGATAAGGGCCTCGTGCTTTAGTCCTCACTGTTCTCTTAAAACCATCGGATCCGCATACTTTGAATTGACCTTCCTTTTCCTCCGCTTCTCCCCTATTTTCTCTTATTGCTAAGGCTCTAACACGGATTCACAAACTGCCGGGAAACCAAGTCTCAACCACTGGTGCCCGCATCTGTTAAATTACCTACTTGGACTGTCAGTTGATATACAGGATAGGGGGGAGTGAGTGATGTTGGCTTTCAGCGCATATTTCCTCTTAACAAATAGTCACACGTACATCAAACTATCACGATGCGCTAGAAACTGTGACTCGAAAGGTTACCAACTAGTGTTTCCCCTTCGACCAAGCAGTCAGCCCAGTCGCGTCTTTGCTTGCTGAAAGTCTAACTGGTGAACTGACAGTCTGACCGCGATGGTACTGCCTCATGCATGTGGGATCACGGGCGCTTCCCCCATGCATTTATAATCCTGGCGAGCACGTTTTGGTGGGGCGTGGGGGTGGATGGGGGCTTCCAGTTAATGCATGCAGTTAGCGCAGACGGGATCGCTAATACAGTCAGCCACTGCGCTCACTTCCCGCATCAGACAACTGACCGGCTCAGACAGTGGACTGGTGCCGCAGAGTGGGAGGAGAGATGGCGTCAGCGGTTTCTGACGCATATTCGTCACGAGGTGCTTGAAGCTCTAATAGTGCGCTGAATGCCATGGCTTGGAAGGTTGCAAACTGACAGCATGTCTCGGAACTCGAAGTCAGTCCAATGATTGTTGTGTGGAGTGGCCGACCCTTGGACTGAAAATCGGGCTGTAGTGTTTCGTTCTCAATTTGGCATCTAGGGCACTCTTATTCAGTCGGATCCCATCCGTTTCTCTTCTTTTTTGGTGAAAATTCGAAATCAATGGATCAGGAGTATTGTGATACGCACCACACCATCAAACCTCTTCTAACAAGAAGGTTTTTTATGCATTAATTTAAGACCACGATCTCACCATCCAGATTTTCAACACTTAGACGATTTTGATAGATTATCTTTCCACACTTGCTGAGCATCTAGGTGGATCCCGACGTCTCATTTTGTAATTATAAGCTGGGCCTCTGAATGATACCTCGGTAGTAAAATGAAAAAACGATTTTTATTATTTTAATTTCGCCTTAAAATTTAGGTTCAAATTTGAATAGCAATACAATGCCCAGTGGCATCCTTGGAGCTATCTCATTTCTTCCCAGTTGACTAGCGCCTTCTCACTCCAATCTACCCCGCCGTACTTTTCATTGATCGCCTTCTTTTACTCAGGCCTTACTTGCTAAACACCCTCCCTCATGGACACATCATACGGTAATTATGGACTTGGCCTCTAAACGAAACCTCCGTCTACTCTGTTTATGTTTATGTTTATGTACGTAATTTAATAATGGAACGAACAGGACATTAACAGTTTCATAGAAAGATCAGTTTTTATATGGCCACTCTCTCTTATATTCATAATCGTAGAAGACTGCATATTGATTAGCAAAGGTAACCTAAATAGGCATAATATGAAGATAAAGGCAAGTTCATCCGTTTGCGGTAGCAAGGCAACGTGAGGAAAGGACAAAAAATCTCGAATTCGTTCCTTGCTTCAAACGCTTAAAAAGTACAAAAACATCTACCAACGAGGTACAGTACTAAAGCACTCCAAAAAATGATAACTTACTGGAGAAGTTTTTCCAATTAGTTGAAAGCATATTTGTTATTGACTATTTTTATGGACGTTCATTTATGTGACTATAAGGTTTCGTGTTTATGTGAGTCTTCAAATGTGGCCTAAACGACCTTCTACGTGAAGTATAAACCCTAACAGCCGCTAATTTTGTAAATGCCTCCAAAAGTATTTTATTTCAAAGGTTAAAGTAAACGCATTATACAGGAAACCTCTATAGTAATTGATTGAAAACATCAAAAATCGTGACTGATTCAGCCAAATTTAAAGGCCGATCTACAACTTTACATGATTCAGGGCAAAGGAAATGTACAAATGAATTTCACAGAAGATAGGTTCTTGTAATAGACAGATAATGGTATGTTTACAACTACACACGTCAACTACATTTCAAATTCTTAATCCATGATCCGCCCGGCAAACCGTGATTTTATGAAGGCACTTATTACTCTGACGTCTCTATCGACGAAGTCCAGCAAAATCCAATCCGCGTTTTTGAACCGCGTCTCATTCAATTCAAATGCATATGGAAAACCACGAATCCTCGGGAAGCCGTTTTAGAATTTATGCTCAGAATGGAGGCTAATGGCAAACTGCAACGCCTGACATCACACTTACATCTAAAGGACATTTAAATGTCGACTTCATCAAGCCATTATTTTCAGGACTTATTCTATTAATGCTGTCATATTTATTCAGTGTCCACGAACTGGTGTGGGTTTGCGAGTGACTAACAATCACTTACAAATGTCGACACTTTTTATGAGTAAGGTCATGCTCTCCAAGTAAATGATCGTTTTGAGACCTCAGCGCCAGTTCTGTTCAATTTCGCGTTTGGAAATGGGTGACAGCATAAGCACAGGTGAAAGGACGGTTACCCTGAGGTTACAGGGCAGAGGGGTAGCGGATATGTTTGATAACCGATCTGGAGGGGCAGCATTGAGGAAAAGGAGGAGGGTGAGTAGGAAAGTTGAAAACCCTACGTTAAAAATGTAGTGTTGAGCGACATGTTTTCCCAAGATAGTTGCAATGCCCGGCTGCCTGCCGCGTTATTTCTTACATTGTCTGTGTACAGCGATCAGGTATGCTTTAAGGAGTTTATAAATGGGCCTCTACTCGGGAACGTGTTCTGACGAAATAGCTTCGACAATGCCAATCATCTTTCTACACAATTCGAAAAGAATCTCTGACAACAATTTGGTGCCTAGTGTCGACGTCAGGGTTATAGGAACGAACGAGTGTGCATATGGATGCCATCTCATTGAAACCTTAAACTAAGCGCATATTTGTGAGACAAGACAAGACAGCCTGTACTTGTCCTTTGAACGACTGACGCTGTGTGAACGTGAGAGAAGACACAATCCTTGATTATTTGGTCTCTGAGGTTTATAGGGTTGGCGTTGACTACCGGAACAGCTATTCAATGCCATTCATTTGTACGAGAAAGTATTAAAGCACTGTTTACGATGCTACTCAAATCGATGAGGTAGTTTGATTTTTGTTCTTTTAAATACTGTTCAAGACTGCGCAGCTAGAAATCATCATCTGCGGACATCACTTGCATTTTCTTTTAAAAAGTACACAGCTGATTACGAATTTGTGAACTAAATAGTATTGCTCAGCTATACCATCGCACATGAAAGGGAGCTATCAAATATTTCCGAGTTTATGAAGTCATCTAGGCTTATCTACCTTCACGTTGTTATCAGCAATTTCGAATTTAACAAACAGACTTAGTAGCCTGACACATGCTCGGCACAAATACACATGCGTCATTTCCGTTCTTCCAAATGTTCAACAAATCCGTTTCCGAAGAAAAATCATCGTCCATTCATCCTTGCTGTACACGTGTGCAGTGCTAGGGGATGGCCAAGCAAAGTGGTCGTGTTAGTCTAAGTAAAAAATCTCTAGAGACTGGGCAGTATTTCGGCCGTCATTAACGCGATCACTATGTAGTTGTCTGTAGGAAAGGGGAAACCAATTGAGAGTTGACGGTCTGTTTTCATAGGGCAGTGCCGATTTTTTCGAATCCAACCAACATTCGCCTAAGGAGATGCAATGCGGACATAGCCGACTTTGCCGTATTCGACCAGTTCTGTGTAATCCATACACTCAAGTTCTTCTAACCGTCAGTTTGTTGCAATGGTGTAACATTTAGAAAATAATTCCTAGAACTGGAGGCTCTGCAGCTGCTGAATTAAAAAAAGTTACACTTATTTACATTTAAGAACAAAAGCCAGCGCTTTAACGAATCCTTGAGCCTGTTGAAGTTTTTTACTAGGTGGTCTCCGTCTGCCGCATTGTAGACAACCTTCCACAATGTGATGTCGCCAGATCACAGAATGACATCACGATATTGGTCCCCGGGAATAAGCTGATTATTAAATGGAATAACTTGAAGCCCATAACTGAGCTCTGTGGGTCAAAACTCACCACGGCTACCTCGGGGGTGTGCCGACACCCGACTGGCACTCTTCGGGATGGTCCGGTCAAAAGGTTTTTGGTTGCCTAAAAGGAGGCTTCCAAGAATTCCTACGCGACGTAGTGTGTACGGTAGATGTCTGCAAGGGGCGCTGTCAAAAACCTTTTAAAGTCGATGTAGATGGCATGCCCTATACTGCCTTCGTTACATGCTTTGATCTAATATTCACGGAAAAGTAGCAAATTTCATAAGACAGGACCTACTGCTGCAAATCCGACTTTGGTGTCGGAGAGACGACTCCATTCGAGGAACTGCATTGAAGCTTTCATTATGACTTATCCCATGATTCTGCAACAAATGGATTTAGGGCTCAATTGCATGTAGTTGTCCAAAGGCGCTCCACTCCCACTCTTAAACAGCGGGGTGATGGATGCCGACTTCAAATCGGAGGACAGGAACCCACTAGAAAATGACGTCTGAAGGGCAAGGTTAGCGGTTTGATTATTTCAGAAGTTAGTCCCTACAAAACTTGGT